CCCCCCCCCCCCGCGCCCTCCCAGATGAGTGGCAGGAGCCGCTGGATGAGTGGGAGAGTGCCGGACTAGCCGCCAGACCAGAGGCTCCCGGACAAGCAGCAGCTCCATCCCCCTACCTGCCCCAGCCCCACTCCTCCCTCACCATGAGGGCCTTGATCTGCACCCCCATGCCCCTTCCCTTCTACCACACCAGATTTACAAGCTGCCGGGCTGTCCTCCTAGCTACGTACCCGCTGCGCGGGTATTTATCAGCCACATCGGACCGATTTCCAATATAATCAATTTTCTTTATATCGGTGCCGATTCAATATCGGACTGATGCATTATGCACCTCTAATGTATTCTTTTTGTAACAATTACTTTTGTGTCTTAAGTGTTAGCATCTAATACTATTAAATTAATAGTCATTTTTAGATTTCAATATTCTTTGGGGCCTGTTCAAGTAAAATATTCATTTCAACACTCTTCATCATCTGGTTATTAGTATTAGGTTACAAGAATACCAGCAATCCCAAAAATGAACAGGGCCCTACCATGTTGGATTGCAGACACCCATGATAAGACAGAAACCTGGTCATAAAAATCAAGAGAAAAAAAAATCTCTCTCCTCAAATCAGAGAACCCTGGCTTCAGGGTTTCAAAAACAGCAAGGTTTATTAGGTTAAACAGGAAATATGGGATAGGGAAATGTTTAATTCAAATAATATACTCTTTATACTACTGTTGTTCTGCAATAAAAGATTAAATATATAAAAATATTAATACACTGAACAATGTACATACAAATGCACTTATAACACATATCTAGAATAATGTGAATGGTGAAGATTATAACTTAGTGAGCATGAGACTCCTGACAGCAAGAATATAATGAGAATATGATTAAGCACGGCTAAAATATTTAAACAGAAGATGACATGGGACTCTAGAAATGTATGCAAAATATTTCAGCATCTGAAAAATTCAGTATGGAAATTAATCAATAAAGTACGCTGACTAATTTTACCAGGAATAAAAACTAAAAGGAAAAAAGTAGGTTGGTTCATGGATCCAGACTGTAGAAGAAGAAGGTACCTGGAAACATTGCTTCTAAAAGAGATGTTTACAGGGACTAATAGCTAAGTTTGTGAGTTCAACATGGCATAGACAACAGTGTGTATTTAGGTAACATAAGCAGAGACATCACACCACATGGAGACTTCTTCTTCCTAGGCTTGATCCTACCTCCACTGAAGTCTGAGAAAAATGCAAATTTTGGCCATCAGTTTCATGAAAGCAAGTCAGACCTTAAATATAACTCTAGCCTGGGAAATAACCCAAGTAAAGTAAGATCATTTGAAAATGGTTTGCAATTGATAATTTCTCCTGTTTTTCTCTGTGGTCTGTTTGATCAAAATTATAAACATGTCATAATTATCACTTGAATTTTCAGAGTAGTCAGAAAGAGTAATTATCTCCCTACCTATTCCACTCCACTCTAAGTCTCTTTGAGGAAGAAAGATATTCCAAGGAGGATCCAAACCTGTAAATTAAAGAAACCAAAGCCAGCGGGAACAGACACCAACACCTTTGTTGTGTACCAAAGCAGGGACTAATGGACACAGATGGACATAGGTGATGACATTATTTGTTACTGTTTTCTCTTTGAATGTTCTCTGCTGACTGCCTGTTTGTTCCAAACTCTTCCTGCAGCCTACCTTTAAGCCAAATCACCTTAACCTCATCCTGCCTGCCCTTTATACCTTCCTCTTTTCTTCTTGCCCTATCCCTTCTGTGTTCTTAATCCCCTCCTAATAAAACTCCAAAGAATACAAATAAATCAAAATCACCAGTATTCCCTCCCCCTGAAAAGAGGAAAAAAAAAATATTATGGTGCTAATACAGCATTTGCAATGCATAATGCAGAGTGCTCTGCTTGTGTTATACAAGTTTCCCCTACCCTTCTTTGTCAACTTATATTGCAATATCTTTGAAACAGGGACTGCCTATTTCTCTATGTTTGTGCAGTGCCTAAAACAACAAGGGCCTGCTCAGTTGATCACTAAGCACTACCATAAAATTGCTACTGTTAATAATAAT